AGGCAGATTCACTTAAGAACCTGTGCTTCATTTAACAACCATGGCAAAAAAAAAAAAAAAGTCATAAAATCAGGTGCTGTCCACTGTTCACTTAACAAATGCCTTGCCTAACAATGGAAATTTTAGTTCCAAGTGAGGTCGTAAATTGAGGACTACCTTTATGACCTAAGGCTGTGATGATGAACCTATGGCATGCATGCCGGAAGTGGCATGCAGTGCCATTTCTGCCTGCCTGCATTGCCCGGAACAGATTTACTGCACATGCACACGCGCCTCCCATCAGCCAGCTGTTTGTTGGGTATCTCCGCGCATGCATGGGAACAGGGCACATGTGGGGGTCAAGAATGCATGCCTAGGTGGAGCAGGGGGTGTCGCATGCACATTGCATTATAGGTGCAGGCACACACACTTTTGGCACGCAACAACGAAAAGCTTAGCCATTACTGACCTAAGGACTTCTAAGGATTCTTTTCATAGTGGTCAGGTGGCTTGGTAAGTGACTTATTTTATTTCAATCAATCAATTTATATAGCTGCCCATCTCATATACATGACCCTGGGCAGAGGATGATAAAGTAATATTGATGATACTTAAAATACACTGCGTGGAATGATGTCAGCTAATGGAACAATGTTCTCTTGTATCACCCCATATCTGGAAAATTGCATTATCAGTGCAAGTTCAGTTGTGTAGTGGAGGAGTTCTGTAGAGGAGATTCAACATGATGCAAAATAAAGGGAAGTACAATCACTTGAGCAGATATAAGTAGCATTATATAATACTGGAAATAGACCCATCATTTGTGGTAAATTTATATATATAAAATGTGGTAAATTATATATATATAAAATTCAGTTTTGATAAGCTGATCTAAAGACATATATCTTTAGATGAGCTTATCAAAACTGAATGTCTTACCTCAGAAGTTACCATACCACACCTACCATATTTGCACAATGGAAAAGTTGCATAAACCTTAACCTTACTACTGTTTCTCCTTCAATATGTTTTCTTAATACTTGACTTTTAATTTGTTCAATTTTGCATAGGGAAGTGACCTAATGACCTTCTAGATAGCATAAATGTCAGTTTGCTTTTGACTATGCAGTGGTGAAAAAAAGAACGTAAGAAGCAAAGAAACAGGACACCATGTACATATTAAAACCAACAGAACAGAATATCCGTAGTTCAGAGATCCCAAAATACGAAAGCTTTTATTATAGATTAAGAGAAAGAAGAAGAAAAAAGGCATGTTCTAAAATAAAAAGAAGGGTCAATGAAGACCAACGTCAATGACCACCCTATGAGAGTTGGTGAGTTAAGAGAAGTACCAAAGCAAAGGTGTGTGGTAAGGTTGTGGGACAGAAGCCTGAGTTTATTATTAGAAATCAAGGGGCAAAAGGACTTACTGCTTCTCTCCTTAACTCATCAATTTTCAAAAATAAAATCTATAAAAGAAAACCTCAACTTCTCCAGAGAAGGATTGTGACCCATTAAAAGTGTTGATGGACGTGCCCTGGCTTAACAGATATGAATTTAAACAGGAAAGATGGTTTTGTTTCTTCAATATGTCATATCTAGAGAGGGATCTACTTATGAATAGGTTACATTCCAAAAGGATTTTGTTCGCAATTCTGATAAGCAAAGAAAAATCCATGCACAGTACAGCCCTTATCTTACAGTCCATGAGCAGATCTGAGGACACTATGCAAGTGGAAATGATGCAAAAGTGGGGAAGGGTTAGCAGTAGCATTTAGCTTTATGTCTGTCCCATAGTGCTTTACAGCACCCTCTGGGCGGTTCATGATATAGAAGCATTATTTGCATATTGCTCCCAACGTAGGACAACAATGCGAGACCTCATTTTACCGACCTCGGAAGGATGGAAGGCTGAGTCAACCTTGAGCCCCATCAGGAGCAAACGCCAGGCTGTGGGCAGAATTTGCCTGCAACCCTGCTTTAACCACTGCACTACCAGGACTATAAGTGGCATGTCCGTGGGTGGGATTCAAAAATCCCAGCAACTGGTTTGCTGCTCAGTTGTTGGGTGGGCATGGCCATGGTGGGCATGGCCTACCGGAACTTCCAGGAGGGCCATTTTTCATCTTCCCAAGGGTCCAGAGGCTTCCCTCAGGCCTCTGGGAGGGCAAAAACGGCCTCCCCCAGGCTCTGGAGGCCCTCCAGAAGCTGAAAACAGGCCATTTCCAGACATCTGGTACTTCCGGAAGGCCCATTTTTTTCCCCCTCCCAGAGCCTCCGTGTGGACCCTGCAATTACCTGCATTGAAAATGGGCCACGTGGAGACTCCTGGGAGAGGTGTGGTAGGCAGGGCCAGCCAGTCAGTTCAAATACCAGTTCAGTGAACCAGATGCAAATTTAAAATCTGGTTCACCTGAACTGGTCAGAATCGGTAGAATACCACCCCTGGGCATGTTATAAACTCACCCTTTCCTGTTTTCTACTGACTTCCAGGATCTTCTGATTGGAGTCATGGACAGGTTTGTTCATCTCAGCGAAAGTTTGCAACTCAAAAGCTCTTAACTAGAGGAATGTCCGTACTAGAAAATGTACCGCTCAAATCTTTCAAAGGGGAACAACATTGAAAAATTCATGGCAGTCAGGTAGTTGGGCCTCAACCTTTCAGCCACTCCAGGCAAAGGATGTTGTAAAATAGTCAGCAGGTTGTCCTGTTTCACTTTGCATAAGCATCATTTTTTGCAGCACTGCAATGAATTGTGATTTCATACGGTACTTAAAGTGACAACAGGAGCATGACAGAGTGCAAAATGGAACTGCAAAGATGTGACATGAGGCAGATAAACATTTTAGTGTCAAGTTGTGCTGATATGTCTATTCATTATATGCAAGAGCCAACACTGTATCAAAACATCAGACGTATTTCATCAGCTCGGCTTGTCAGTGTAGTAAGGAGCTGGAAAAAAATATTTTGGTATTCTTGTGGTGGATCGGGATGTTCTTCAGAATGGCCAGAAGAATACTTTACTTAATATTTCACTTTATTTATTTTTTTATTTTCTCTAGACAACAAGGATAATAATTAGGAAACGACAGTGCAGGGATCATAGTTCCGTGTCAAGGCGGGTTTCTGTCTTATAAAGAAGTAGGCAATACACATGAGGATAATTTTTAGATAGTTCTGTTTATTCAGAGCTATCATCTACAATTTTACTAAGTGGTTTTAAAACAGAAGTTGCTGACGGATAGAGGAAAAAATAAACTGGCTGTCCATCTTTGACAACACAACTCCATCTTTGCTGCTGTTCACAGACATTAGAAAATGGGGCAGGTAACAAAAGAATAAACCTAATTGAATTGTAGGATATGACCAGGCTGAGCTCAAGGGAGGGGTCAAGTGCATCATCAGTCATGAGTCCCCTCACATCCACAAGAGATCTAAGTCCAGCCCATCTTGAATTCACACTTATCTGCCACCAATTTGTTTTGGCCGTTAGTAGTTCAGGTTCTTAGAGAGACCTTAAGCTCAGTGCTTCCATTTCAGAGGTGGTATTCAGCAGGTTCTGACCAGTTCTGGAGAACCAGTAGCGGAAATGTTGAGTAGTTTGGAGAACTGGCAAATACCACCTCTGACTGCCTTGCCCCCATCTATTCTCTGTCTCCCGAGTCCCAGCTGATCGGCTGGGTCTTCTTTTGTTGCCCTGAGTAGGAGAACGGAGCTGGAAAGCAGGTTAGTGGGGTGCAGAGGAAATGGGGATTTTGCAGTAATCTTCCCCCAGGAGTGAGAAGGGAATGGAGATTTTACAGTATCCTTCCCCTGCCATGCTCACCAAGCCACACCCACCAAGCCATGCCATTTCCACCAAGCCATGCCCACAGAAACGGTAGTAAAATTTTTTGAATCCCACCACTGTTCCATTTCATCACCTTTAAAGCCCTTCATGGCATGGTCCAGGTTATTTGAGGGACCATATCACCCTATTGGGATTGGCCCATCCTACTCATGCCGGCAAAGGAGGCATGCTCCGGGTCCTGTTAGCCTGATTATTTTGGCTGGTGGGGTCCAGGAGGAGGGCCTCCTTGGCTGTTGCTCCTGTCCTCTGGAACACCCTGTAAGGACCTAAAGATGTGGCTCTGCCAGTTGGCTTGGGACACCAGTGGAGGAACAGCGCAATGGAGGTGATTGATTGAGCAATAACAGATCCCATCTCCCACCCACCCACTCTCCCCCACCCACTCCATGTGGCCTTAGGTTTTAATGTTGGATTCTAAATGTTTATGTTTGAATTGTATTTATTTATTGTATATATAATTGTAAGCCACCCAGAGTTACCCTATGGTAAGGTGGGCAGCCAATAAATTTTATAAACAAACAATCAAACAAACTGCCTGGATCTTCTGATTTCCTTAGTGAAAGATAGCAGTCTGGATATGTTTATCCTGAAGGAGCCACTGATTACTTTAAGGAATCATTGTAGGAATCCTGAATTGCTGGAATCTCATCTATTTCTCATCTGCCCCTATTATTAGGAAAATGCAATATTTATTGGCAGATGGTTTTGACTCATAGCTATGTTCTCCCCTGTTCTCCAGTGTTTCCAAAATTCTAAGATATCATAGTTATAGAAAAGTTTTGGGAGAACTTTTGTGTGCAGCTAAGGAACCCAAGACAAAGTTTTCCCTCTGCCCCAATTTTCTCATGATGTTAATCTCAGAAACTCGCCCTAGGAAACAGACTGACTTTTTAAATACTTCTCCCGCCCAAAAAAGTTTATAAGCTGTTTTATGTTATAAATCTCAGTGCTTCCATGTATAAAAGGAAAAGAGGTTTGGGTTTTTTGGCAATAGCATTTTTCATTTGAGAAAAGTACATATTAATGAGCAGGCGATGTGATCAGATGGACGATAAATAAGAAATTATGAGAATTTAATGGTATAAGAAAAGTGGTAGATCATCTGAAAATGCTATGGCTGTCATATCTCTCCTTGATTACTAATATTTGTTTATATTTTTCTTTTTTCAGTTTGTGTTCTGCCGTGAATGTAAAGAAGAATACCATGAAGGGGAATGCCATAGCTTTTTCAAAAGTCCAGGAGCCACCGCTCAAATGGTACATATATCCACATCCATAGCATCTCAGAAAGTTAACTAAAAGATCATGGGGGGTGGGTTGATAAATCAAGAACAGAGACAATCAGGGCCTTGGTGGGAAACATCATGTGGACAAAAAGAGAGAAGATTCTGCTGTAAACATATGTTTCCCTTTCAGAAGTCCTAGTGTTAGTTACTGGTATTAGCTCTTAACCAGAGTCTTGGTGGCACAGTGGTTAGAATACAGTACTGTAGGCTAGTTCTGCTGACTGCCAGGAGTTTAATTCTGACTGGCTCAAAGTTGACTCAGCCTTCCAGCCTTCCAAGTTTGGTAAAATGAGGGTCCAGATTGTTGGGGGGCAATATGCCCATACTGTAAACCGCTTAGGATAGTAAAGTACTATGTAGCAGCATATAAGTCTTAAGTGCTGTTGCTATACATATCATAGGTGGAACTCAGAAGTAGTTATTAAGACTTTAATAAAGTCATGAAACTTACAACATATACAGACAGACATCTGCTCAGAAAGCGAGTTTTTTTTTTTAATCTTTACCATTGTAGTATTCAGATTTTTTGAGAAAATGACTAATGGGACTTTCATAAACTTTTCCTATGGAGAAGCATGGAAGTTTATGCTTGATGTACTTTCTTTCACATTCTTCCTCTTTATAGCCCAATGTTAATTCTTCATCCTACAGAACCAATGCATACCAATGAGCAATGAGCAGCAAGCACAAATGTAATCTGCGTGATGAAGATTATAAAAACTGATGGGGAAAAAGTAATTTGATTTTTATTTTAAGGTGTTTAAATTTGTGCTTTCAGATAGAGCTGTGCAGTGCTTCAGATTAAATTCCAAAAACATACTTTGGAATATTCAGAGGCACAACTATAACACCCATTTGCTACCGTTTAAAGCTGCTATATCTATATCATTTTTTTTTTGGAATTGAATCCAAAGAGTTGCACAGTGTTACTTCGAAACAAATAAGCAAGCTAGGATTTTTTTTTCCCCATTTCTTGAAATAAAGCAATGCAGTCCTTCAGTCAATAAATGCAAACAAAAATGCACACATTTGCAAAACACTGTGCATAGAATGAGATAAATTATATTTAAAAGGGTGGGTGGGTGTTAAAGAAATTTTGTGATGCAGAAAACATCTCTTTAACTGGCGTTTGGGGTCTATTTAATACTGATATCTTATGCAGGAACTTTCTTTTTCCAATTTGCTGCTGTTCATCAATTTTCAATTACCTCACTGCTAGAAATATTTTAATGTTTGGAGATTTAAAAAGGGATGCTTTGGATATAAACAAGGATTGAACTGATCATTATCTCTAATAGTCACAATAATACTGAGTTCTGTTCACTCTGTAAAGATAAGTGCCAAACGGAGCAAATTTATTTTAATTTAGGTCAAGATAATGTAAGGATTATTTTAAAAGCCAAGCAGCCAACCAATTTATATTTCAAACATGAGCAAAGAGAAGTTCCTAATGTGCACTTTTATGTTTCATACTGGGAAATTTTCTTTTTATTTCTTAAAAAAATCATGCTGAAATGAAGAAATAATTGAGTTGATAACCTTACCAAGTTATCAAGTTAATTCTTGGACTTTAGCACAGAGCTGCATACAGTTGCTCGATTCCTAGAGAATGCCAGGATCCAAATTAAACCACATTATTCATTAAGCAAATCAGAATCCAAGTATCCTTGGATCCTGATTCTTTATCTGTTATCGGTTCTGGGAGAAACAGCTCAAGACCTGAGGGGCATATCTGAGACATAGCTGATTTTGAGAGATGGAAGTATAGCCGTTTTATACTATCCATAGCTCATGAGTTCCTCTTCAGAAAGGAGAATGAGAATTCAGCTGGTAATTATAGCAAACAATACTTTCTGTTCATATTTGGATAAGTAAACAGCGTGTTGATGCTTTTAGTATTGTGTTTGCAGTGTTGCCTTGTCCTAGCTATGCTAATCACCCCAAAGAAGGGAAAGGCAAGGGGGAAATTGATTAAATGAGCTCTGCCATCTTCCATACCAAATCATTCTGAAATTACTGTAGCCCTACCACACTTTTCCCTATGTTGTCTTTACCCTCAATCCTAAATTCAAAATGCTACCAGAATGAAAGCATGATCACTCCTTGGTAGAGCTTCACCAGTGCTAGACAAAGCTCAGCAGATGAGGCAAAGAGACCCATAAAAGTGTGGGTGTGGGTGTGAGTGGGTGTATGTATGTTCCAGCATAACTCTGGAATACCTAGAGCAATTTCAACCAAACTTGGTACACAGATGACTTACCCTCTGGAAACAAATACTGTGAGGGTAAGAAACTCCTAACACACCTCAGGAGTGTATGCCTTAAGATGGCTTCTACTGTACAGCATAGTGGACTTGTCATGGTAACGGCTTCACAATACTCCACAAAGGGGCTCACTCTCAGCCCTCCAAGGAAACATCAGGTGATTGGCCATGTGTAATCAAACGCTACAAAAATGAAACACCAGTGTAGACAATAAACTTCCGAGGAGAGGAATAGAAGACTTGTGATGCTGCATGAGAGACAGTACAATAATGTGAGTCCCGATTACAGGATTTTCCTATCTAATACAGGTTTGGGATAAATAAATACCCGGGTTATCGGCTGGTATGAGAAGGGTACCCAGGAAGTAAATACACAGGAGCATCTGTCCATTCTGACTGCATTAAAAATATGCTTTGTCTTATACTAATTAGACCTGGTCGTAGAAATGTTATGTTATACAATTAAATTATGCATATTTAAATCAATTTATTCAATAGCAGGAAAAAGGTTATGAAATTGAACTTTGGTATATACAATCCAAATTTCAGAAAGCTCTTCCCGTTGGGATCCCCAACAGTAAAATTCTTGTTAAGGTTTTTTAAAAAGAGATAAATTTAGTGACACAATTGACAAATGCCCTTTCCACCTTGTATTACTATTATTTTTTGTCTTCTTTCTCTTGGTCACTGAAAAGCCAAGTATCTTTTTACCATGAAAACATACCATTGTGATTTCTGTTGCCCTCTTGTTAGCTTTCAGTTCCTGGTATCAAGGGGGTTCATGGGGCCCAGAATGATGTTTTTTAATTAAAAAGATAATAGGGGAGCCAGTGCTTGCTTATTTATTGATTTGATTCAAGAGAGACTTGTTAACAACTAATGCCAGGCAGCCATAAAGCCTCATGGGAGGTGGGAAAAGTCACCTCCCAGGCACACATTGGCGAATCCAACCTGACATTAAGCAGGCACCAAGGTATATCTCCCCTGGAGTGGTAGGATGGACCAATAGCTAAGCTGCTCAGTATATTATAGGGCTCCTATTGCTTCATCATAGGATGAGAGGAACTGTATGGGTAAGTCACACAGAGAGAAAGTCGTTCTGGGACCTAATTAACCATCTGTCTGAAACTAGAGAGCCTGATAAAACAACTGCTGCATAGCCCATGTGGCTAAATCTCCTGAATGTCACAATTTGAGAGAAAAAGATAAGGAGGTGTGTTGGGAAAGTGCGGTTTTTCAAACAGCGGGTGATAGAAAAGACAGATTGTATTTGCCATATATTTGCCATATATTTGCCATTATATTGACAGGAAATAATCACATACATATTTTAGCTTGATCTGGATCACCATTTAAGTGAATCCCATTGAAATGAAACCAGATGCTTTGGTGATACTTTGTTCAATATTATAATTTAGATATAAATATGGATCCCTAGAGCACAACCCCATCTAAGTAAACTACACAAATATAATCCTATTTTTACAGGCACATTCCCTCAGCTCTTTTGAGGTAATAATATCAAGCTTGTCTCTTTTTTGAGTACTTTTTTGAGGAAGCAGATCAAGGAGCTGTGGTTTTGTTGTATAAACTAAGAGATGGGCAAAAAAAAAATTGCGCAAGGTGATTAACCTGGTCAGCCACTAACATGGTTCAAACATCCTCCTTCAGAGTTCTAGAACTACAAGTAGTCCTTGACTTAACAACAGTTCATTTAGTGACCGTTCAAAGTTACAATGGCACTGAAAAATGTGTCTTATGACCATTTTTCACACCATTGCTGCATCCCCATGGTCCCATGATCAAAACTCAGATGCTTGGCAACTGGTTCATACTGATGATGGTTGCAGTGTCCTGGGGTCATGTGATCACCTCATGTGACCTTTTTACAAGCAAAGTCAATGGGGAACTTGAGACTTTCAAGAAGTGAAAGATAATGGCAGATAGGAAAGCACTCCAGAGGGTTAACGTCATTGTCCAGAAGATCATTGGTTGCCCTCTCCCCTCTTTGGAAGAGTTTTATAGCTCCCGCTGCCTTAAGAAAGTTCAAAACATTCTCAAAGATCCATCTCATATTGGGAACCCTTTTTTTGAACTATTACCATCTGGCAGATGGTACAGAATAATAAAAACAAGGACAAATAGGCTGAAAAACAGCTTCCATCCCAGAGCAGTAGCTCTTTTGAATTCTACTGTGTAGTGTAATGTTGGTGTGGTGTCGGGGTTTTTTGGTTCAATGTGTGGAGTGTGAAGGATGTGTGTTTGTGTTTATTTTCATGGTCATGATGTGCACTGAAGATGGTGTTTGATTTCGTTGTATCAGGTGCAATGACAATAAAGTAAACTAAACTAGAGATTGGACTCCCATCTGTCAGAAATAGTGTAGGGTTTCCTCCTTGGGCAGCGGGTTGGACTAGATGACCTACAAGATCCCTTCCAACTCTGACTATCTGTTATCTGGGATCCAGATTCACTTAACATCCATGTTACCAACTTAACCAGTGAAGTGATTCACTTAACAATTGCAGCAAGAAAAATCGTAAAATGGGGCAAAACTCACTTAACAAATGTTTTACTTAGCAACACAAAATTTTGGCTGAGTTATGGTTGTAACTAACAGTTTTACAGAAGCTGAATACAGAATACAGATTCTGAATATAAAATCTCCTTGCTCATCCCCTGCTGGTAATCTACGAGCCTTTGCGCTA